GCTTTCTCTGTAGGAGGACATCAAGATACGGGAGTTTGTTTTCAGCCTCTTTCTCGAATGTGAATGTGGTTCCTGGAAGTGTTGAGCTAATAATGTTGTGAAGTATTTTCAGTTGATCACTTTTAACAATGACAAACGTGCCATAAATATAACGTAACCATAATCTGGGGCTAATTAATGGTAAGGCGATAGCCTCTAATTTCTGCGAGAAAACCAGAGATGGGTGATCCCATAGGGGTTCCCTGCAGCTGCTGGTAGTATTTCTGTGCTACTGAAAAGTTCGTTTCCAGACAAAGGTCTAAGAGTTCTAAGAAAGCAGATGCAGGGATATCAGTGTCGTAGTAATGGAGACGTTCCTCTGAACATTGTCTTGCTAAATCCAGTGGTGTTGAGGTAAAGAGAGAAAGACGACATCAAAATCTGTCCAAATAAACCCTGCCATTAGAACTACTCATTTAAAATTTTTCGATATGATTCAGTTGTCAGTTTATAATCAATGAAAACGGACCAGTCATCCTGCACTGCAGACGCCACCCCAAACAGTGACACCAGGCAAATAATACTCCTGCTGTAATATTTCATTTGGGATTTAATCTAACCAGAAACGCTAGTTATCTTGATTCACTCGTCCAAATCCAGTTTTCAGTAGACTTCTTTGGACCAAATAATGTGGTTCAAAAAGTCAGGAAAATCTTCGCTCTAACACCCTTATAACACCAGGCAGATGGGTAATAATTCTTAACAGCATCAACAAGTCATTCGATTTTTAAATGTAGTTGTGCGCAAGCCATGTCTTAATTGGAAGAAGGTGAGAATATATTCAAAATTGTTTGAAACGAGAACAAGGTTGCGCATATTGAAGGTGATGTAGAAAAGGTCTACCCAAGGTTTACACTTCGCACATTTGCTGCAAGTGTGTGCTATAAAATTTTTCACAGTTGGGTCAAAGGGAATTACTTGGAATCTGCCAAGACACCTCTAATGAAATTTTATTTCATTTATTTGGGACTTTTAATGATAGTTTGGGTCACCCTGTATACTGAAAGACGTGACGTGGTTCCATCCGTAGGGCATTGAACTCGGTGGCCAAAGACCCCGAGTTCGAATCTCAGTTGTTCCGAACCTAGGGCTGGGTATGGCTGGGTTGGGACAGATAATAAACTCGGAATGCTGATAGAAGCGAACAGGCGAGTCCCAGGTAGCAGTTCAGAAGATGAAGATGCGATCACTGGGACAAGAAGTTTATTGGCCTGACGTTTCGGGTTCTCACTCGAGCCCATCATCAGAGACATTCGCAGATAGAGGT